CATTACATATTTATATATAAAAATATATACATGGAGAGAGAGAGAGAGATCCACTTCTCTGTAAAAAAAGAATGAAATCATGGCATTTGCCAGTAAGTGGTTGGAAATGGAGAATATCGTGCTAAGTGCAAAAAGCTAGACTCAGAAACTCAAAGGTTGAACATTTCTCTCATATGCAGAAGCTAGAGTAAAATAAAGGAAAGGGGGAGGGAAGGATAGGATAACATAAAGGGAAGATCAGTATTGTAGAAAAGGGGATCAAGAAGCAGAGTGGTAGGATGGATAAGAGTTCTTAAAAATCATTTTATGTGCATATATAAGTATACAATAAGGAAGTTCACCTTTATGCATAGGTAGAAAGAACCAATCAAATATAAAATGAAAGGAAGTCTAATAGTGGAAGGAGAATGAGAGAGGGGAGGAGGAAAGGGGAAAAGAGGGGACGGGAAAAGGGGGATCATGGACTGAAATCGATTTCTATGCAGGTGTGAGTTTATCGGGATGAACTCAGCCACTATGTACATCTATAAAGCTCTAATTTTAAAAAAGATTATGTACAATAAAAAAGATAAATATATATCAAAGTACAATTTGAAACAACATAAATTAGGATAGAAACTCGCCTTCACCATACCATGCTATTTAGCTAGACTCTCTTCCCACCCACCCTTCTCTGGGTCTGAACAATCAACACACCATCCCCCCAGCTGGTATTGAGAGTAGCGGCTCACAGAGATTGAGGCAGTTCTCACAGTGGGGACCTGCATAGCTGCATCTGCCTGGTGGCCTCTTCCAGGACCTTCTACCTCAGGGATTTTAGCTCTGTGTCACCCAGGCCTTTGATAATCCTCTGCATTTTCTTGCCAGAGGCTTCTTAAAGGGAAAAACCTCCCGACCCCTCTCCTTTCCAGCTTCCCTCTCTGTTCCTCTCCTCCTTCCCCTTCTCCTTCTATGTTTCATCCAGCCAGGCAGCACCTGAACAGAAAGAGCTTTTCATGGGCACATTTTATTGTCCTGAGTAGAAAGAGGAATTAGAGATGGTTTATACACTGGAGGAATTCACCACGGGAGAGGGGTGCAGGGGCAAGTGATTATGACTCTGTGGTGAGGCTCTAGAGGCATGAAGAGGCATTGACAGAACCACTGGACAGTCTTCATGGAGGACAAGTGAGCCTGAGCTGGGTCCTGGAAAATGAGCAGGAGATTGCCCGTGGGGGGAGCAGGGAAGGGTTAGTCCAGGAGGGCGTTCCAAGTGGAAGAAGGGGTCTATTCAAAGGTGTGGAATCATGATGTTTTATGGGGCAGAGTCTGAAAAAATGGCTGTGTGATGAGGAAAAGAGGTGCAGGAAGTGAGCTCCAAGGACATCTCAGAGGAGTGGACTATGCTTTATAAAGTGAATATGGATGTTGCCCACTAGACCCTGGACATCTTCCCAAAAGGGAAGGTTGGGTTTTGAGAAGTCCCCTCAGGCATCAGTGAACGCTGTGGGAAGATGAACCAGATGGGAAGAGACTGTGGAAGGACCTGGTTCAGGGGACTGTGGAGTGTGGGTAAGAGATGAAGCCATGGTGACCTGGTGAGGGGGAGAAGAGGTAGAACAGGTGACCAGTCATGTGTGGAAAGGGAAAGGAGCAGGGGAGTTTCAGAGCCTATTTGATTGAGATGAAGAGGGAATAAATCCACAGGGAACCACTCCCCTCCACAAAATCCATTTTCTTTCATCCAATATTTTTTAATTACTCTGCTCCTTTAAAATCATCTTACGGTCAGTCTGCTTAATTCATGGTTTTCTCATATCCTAACCTTGCTATTGGTACCCAGCCTTTCCTTTGTAGATAGATGTTCATGACAGGCATTAGTCTCCAACCTGGGGGCATAGTGATGGGAAGAGAAACAAGTTATATGCCCCCACGAAAGCCTCTAATCCATAGGAGTAGACAGACAGGAAGACATAACATTAAATAGAGTTTGCCAGGGAGTTTATGGTATGAGATAAAGTTTGAGGGGTTGGTAAGAACCACATCATGTATGTCCTTATAGACCATGGGCAGGGCACTAAACCTTATCCTAGGAGCAACGGCGAAAAGCCAGCAGGGCCTATGGTGACTAAAGCAACAAGACAGGATTATGGGACTTTTGAGATTTTAGCAGCTAAGTTGATGGTGGTGTTGTAGATTGAGATATTATAAGGTAGTGTGTGGTACAAGTTTCACACATATATTTTCTACTAGTCCCATATGGACAAATTTGGAAATATTCAGTGCATCAATTATGTGTTGTGCACATAACATGATTGATATGTGTAGCAAATGGGTAGGGATTTAAACCAAGATGATATATGACATATTGATCTGAGCCATTTATAAAAGGCAGTACATTGGGGCCCAAGAACCTTGAGCTGTCTTAACTTTTTCTAATGAGGTGAGAAGGATTGAGAGGGGGAAAAAAATTTAGGTTGAAACAAGAAAATAAAAGTCCCTAGGAAAACTGTGATTCCTTCTGCTAACAACATCCCTTGCCAGAGGTTAGATGAGGGGGGCAAGAAGATGACTGTGGATCCGAATGCCCATCTTCTAAGCCCTGGGAACCAGGGAAAAGAAACTTCATGTGCATATGAGTGGAACGGGTTCCCCATGGTGTCTGCATGTACCAGTTCAGGTCTGGATTCACTTGGGCATCTGTGTTCTTTGGTCTCTGTTGAGGAAAGTGTGAGTCATTCTTTGGATTGAGATAAACCAGTAGTGCCCAAGGGCCTGGGCTGTCTCAGAACAGGTAGAGTCTAGTCAGATGATGGGAATTTTCCATTTTATGGCAGCAATGGCCTGGGATTCCTAGAACAGTTTATTAGTCTTCACAAAAGACCTAATCCTTAGCTTAGAAGACTGTATTGTAGATTCCTGGTCAGATCAAATACTTGTATAGTTTAGTTCCCTGACAATGTTTGTGATCCTGTACCTTTCAAGGAAGAATTGACTAAGTCATGTATAATTGAATCACTACATTGAGATATTTTTAAATTGTTCTCAAGATAGTTATATTTTAACTTACAAAATCTTTTTGTTATGATATAAGGATGCTTTATATTTACCTAATGCTTTCTAGTATATGAATACATTGTCACATCTTTTCTATTTGCTACATACAACCACTCTGAAAGTGAGCAGAATAGTAATCCTGTTTTTATAGATATGAAAATGGGGAAGTGGAAAAATGAGTGTCTGCCCCACATAACTTGAAGGAGATTTGGAACTGAATCCTGTTAGTTGACTCTAAAGCCAGTGTTCTCTCTTCTGCATCCTGAATGAGAAGTTCCTCAATTAAGGTGGGGGTGAGCCTATGATATATGCACACCATTAGGTAATGGGCTCTAGCAGTGCCATTACATATCTCATCTCATTGAATCCTCACAACTAGGAAAACTGTGATTCCTTCTGCTAACAACAGGGCAGTTATCACCATGTCCACTTTATTGATGAGAAAAATTTGCTTTGGAAGGTTAAGTAACTAATCCAGGCTTGAAAATGGTGGCACTGATTTGACTTTCTTCACTAATAGCTTGCCTGTACCATCCCTCAAGGAAAGATCACACCACATATGAAAATTATTAGATAACAGCAACACCAATTTTCAGATTTACTAAATTGTTCTCTACTCTTAGACAAAGGAAAACACAGTTTTTCTTAAATTGTTCTACAAAATAAGACCAATTTGCAAAAATCTCAATACTTAGAAGAAAATAAGTCTGATAGTCTTAAATATTCTTCGGTCACATCATCTTTGATGGTATTTATAAGAACAATAGAGCAAGAAATTTCTAATCTGTGGAACTGATATGGCTGTCACAGGATCAATTGAAGATCTTGTGGCTATTAACCCAGATAGTGATTTGCTTCACCCTGATTTCTGTTATGCTAATTCCCTATTCCATTCTCTTTTTTCTGTTTAATTTTTTAGACTTTATTCCTTGTATCAATAGGTTAAGAAAGTGAAATTTTCCCAGGTACTGATTTATAGATACTATTTATAAGTAGAATCAAAAAGTTCAGTTTCACAAACAGTAGCATTCAGTGATCTCTTTAAATGCAATTTTAATCCTTATTTTAAGCTAAGGGCAATAATTTAATGCAATAAGCTAAATTCACACAAAACCTCTTAACTCTGAACTACAAAAGTGGTTTTTGTAGCTACATGTGGTTTTAGTCAACTACGTATTTCCACAAGTACTTATATATATGTTAAAAAAAATACTACCCCAAATGCTTATCCTACCATTAGCTCATTAAACATTGTCATTCCTGCTACTGAAAGTAAATTATCAGGAAAGTGAGTTCTAAAACTTAAAAAGTAACCTAAGTCCCAAAAGGTTTTAAATCAAAAAAGTCTTTCAACATGGAAGCATCAACATGAAACTTTAAGTTTCTAGAAAAATAAAAATAAAAAATCACTATTTAGAAAATATTAAAACAAATTATCATTTAAGACACATAAACATTCCTACAAAAACTTGTAGTTTCAAATATCGTCTCCTTAAAAGAAAAACCAGTTCACTATCTTTAATAACATCTCAGACTACTGTTGTCTAAAACTTCAGAATATGTATGTAAGGCATATGTCTCAGCAGTCATAGTCAAAATGACATTTAGATTTCATATATTAAACAGCTATAGTATAGCTTATAATGGCACAAATATACGTAACAAATACTACTTCATCCTTTAGATAGTCAAAAGTCAGAAGGAACCACATAATTTGTAAGGTACTTTAACTTACATGTAGTCATTAAAACTCAGTAAGTAATTCAAGTGTGGTCATGTAAAGGCAGGCAATTAAAGGCTCAAGGATCACTCTAAAATCAAAGACATGAAATTAAAGGCTGAAAACTTTGTTTCTCCGTCTTTCATTTACATGCCTAGATATTAGGATATTACTGTACAAAATACACAATTATTATATATGATTTCCACAGAAGATAATGAAATTCCATGAAGTACAAAAATTATCAAGATCTGTAGTTTGCTTCATCAAATGCTTTTCTAGCTTGTTTCAATGCTTCATTCATGGTAAGCAAGTCTTTAACCCTAGCGAACTTCCTTGGGTCCTTCTGAATCAAGAAGACGATATCTTCAACTTGTACTCGACCTTGTCTTCCAATTGACACTGCCTTGTGAGTCATTTCAGTGATGAACTCTATTACAAGGTCTTCAAGAATATCCACTGACTCAGTGTAAGGATTCTGGTCATCCCCAAACCCATACATCACACATCGTAATTCTTTAGAAAAAAAATATCTTTTAGTCTGTCTACCTTCTGTACCTCCCCCAATTTCTTCATTTTCCTCCTCAAACATCCGGTCTTTTTCCTCATTGACCATCCCTCTAGCCCACCAGCCCACAGCCTATTATTCCATTCTTTACCTTTGAACCCAATTAGGCTTGCTTCGTTTTTATTTCATGCTATTGTGCCTAGACCCATATTCTCTAATGGGAGAATCATAACAGGGACTTGGTTTACCTACTGATTGATACAATGAAATTTATGGAGTGGATTGTGCCTTGTTAGATAATTAGCATGGCTATATTTTCCAGTTTTAAAAAATGGCACAGCCACCTGGCATACGTCTGTAATCCCAGTAACTCAGGAGGTTGAGGCAGGAGAATCTCAACTTAAAGGCCAGCCTCACAAAGTTTCAAGAGGCCCTAAACAACTTAGAGAGATCCTGTTTCAAAATAAACTAAAAAATAAAAAAGGACTGGGGATGTGGCTCAGTGCTAAGTGTTCTTGGGTTCAATCCCCACTACAAAAAAAAAAAATAAAATAAAAAATAGTGCAAACATGCTTTTATCCTAGGCAACTGCTACATTGAGAAACTTGGTTGATTCACCGCTAGCAAGAAGTAAGTTCTTGAGCATCAGCACCCTTCCCCAGCTCTGCACAGTGATGGAGCAGTACATGGATGACAAGGACGTCTGTACCAATATTGCCAGAATATTCAGGTAGGTAGACTAAGAGAATGAAGTAGCCTTACAAAAATGCTAATGCTTGGGTTTCGTATTATTTGCAATGTTTGAGTGTGTGACTGTCAGGGAATTCTTTTTTGTCTTTTTTTGCTTTTTATTTCCCCTAGCAGAAAAAGTAAATCTGGTGGGTCCAAATTTAGAATACATGCTTTATGGATTCTGTTTCCTGTGTGATTGTCTTGCCACTCTGTATTCGCTAAATGTAGGTCATTTTAGTTCTTTGGTGAATTGTGAGCTATCCCTAATGTTCTTGTTTATTTCTGTGTACCACGATAGATGGCGAACTTCCTAGTATACCTGGAAATAATATTTCACAGTTCATCTGTTACAAGTGTGATCTGATTTTGTATTTTATTCCAATGGTTTGAACTTTGGTTCACACATCCACTAATCATGTCTGTACTTTACTCCAGACAGGATGGTCATTTATATCCAGGTTGTCTCAAAACAAGATGTTGTTGAATTTCAGAGCTGTCTTTAAATTACATATTTGTATTTTTTCCCTTACTTTTATTTGCCAGCATTTTAATATAATGATTTTTCTCAAGAAACCTGGTACTATCTTTAACTATTAAATTTCCTGAAGACCAGATTGGTAATTGACCCCAGTATGAGGCTATTGAGTCCAGATTTTATTTCTTTCCTGAACTTTGTTCTGGATCTTTAATTACTCCCATTTTGAAGCATTGTAAAATTGCAAAGAGTTTATGTTTTGTGGATGGTGGCATATAGGGAGTCCAAGTTAATTTTTTTTTCCATGTGGATGGATGGTCTGTTGTCCAGCATCTTTTTGAATATGCTGTCCTTTTCTCATGGATTTTCAGTCATTTATATGTTTCCAAATTACTGCAGGTCTGTTTCTGGGCATTCTATATGGTCCATCCTCAGACCAGTAAGTGCTACATTGCTTTTACTATTATAGATTTAATTTGAATCTTGCTAAAAGATGAATCTCTCACTTTTTTTCTTTTAAGATCCAGACTCGTTCTTTTTTCTTCCTTATGAACTGAGAAAATCAGTAAGTCTATGATAAGAACTTTAGGATATTTTTTCTTTTATTTGAACCCAGGGATTCTCTACCACTGAGCTACATCTCCAGCCCTTTTTATTATTTTTATTTTAAGACAGGGTCTCTTATTTTAAGACAGTTGCTGAGGCTGGGCGACTTATAATCCTCCTGCCTCAGTCTCTTTGATAGTGGGGTAATAGGCCTGAGCCACCACAGCAGGTTTTCCTGACTTTAAATGAATTATTTTTATGGTCTCACCAGTGAAAAATGATGTTTCTTGTAGATTTTTATAGATACTTTTAAGAAAGTTCTGGAAAGATTCTTTCTCATTAAGCAAGGTTTTTTCAAATGCTTGCCCTTATTCTATTTTGGATACATAGATTTACTTTTTTCAATCTATTAATCTAGTAAATTACATTAAGATTTTCTCATATTAGTAGGCCATCATATATTGATGGGTCTGGTTAACTAATGTTTTAATCAGAGATTTTTCATCTCTGGTCATGAGTCAAGTTGATCTTTTCTTTTCCTTTCCTACATTATTGTTTGTTTTTGGTTCAAGTTTATACCTGCCTCATAATGGGAAGCATTCCAATTTCTCTTTTCTAGAAGAATTTATGAAAATTAAGCTTATTTATGTATTTGTACCAGGGATTGAACCAGGGGTGCTTAACCACTGAGCTATATCCCCATCCAGGCCTTGCTAAATTGTGAGGCTGGCTTTGAATTTATAATCCTTCTGCCTCAGTCTCCCAAGCCATTGAGATTATAGGCATGCACCACCATGCCCCTTTAAATTTATCTATTTTTTGAAAAGCACGTACAGACTAGAGGCATGTGCCACTGCAGCTGGCTAATTCAGTTTCTGCATATCTAGTGATATTTTTATTTCTCCTTGGCTCAGTTTAAAAAGTCATATTTTTTAGCATGGCATGGTAGCACATGCCTGTAATGCCAGCAACTCAGGAGGCTGAGGCAGGAGAATTATAGTTCCAGGACAGCCTGGACAACTTAGCAAGACTCTGTCTCAAAATAAATAGGGATGGGGATGTAGTTCAATGGCAGAGTGCCCATGGGTCCAATCCTCAGTATCAAAATAAATAAATAGTTAAAATTTTATAGGATTTTGTACAATTTTCTAAGTTTTCAAACAATATAGAGTTCCAAAATACTCTACTTATCATCATTTTAGTATCTGTTGAATCTTTCATTTACTTTACATATTTGATACTTGGATACTTAGTACATGATAGGCAATACTTTAAAAGAATTTTCCAAATACTAATTCATTTTATCCTTACATCAACTTGGTTTTTTGTTTGTTTGTTTCTATTTTTGGTACTAAGAATTGAACCTAGGGTCACTTTAGCACTGAGCTACATCTTTAATCCTTTAATATTTTTTTAAAATTTTGAGACAGGGTCTTCCTAAGTTGTTAAGGATTTTGCTAAATTTCTTTTTTTTTTAATTTACTTTATTATTTTTAGTAGCTTCCATTCAAATAACAAATATATATCCTATTTTTTAATTTTTAAATTGATTTTAAAAAATAAATAACAGCAGAATGCATTACAATTCTTATTACACATATACAGCACAATTTTCATATCTCTTGTTGTATATAAAGTATGTTGAGTTCAATTCGTGTCTTCATACATGTACTTTGGATAATGATGTCCATCACATTCCACCATCATTGCTAACCCCCTGCCCACTCCCTTCCCCTCCCACCCCTCTGCCCTACCTAGACTTCGTCTATTCCTCCCATGCTCCCCCTCTCTACCCCACTACGAATCAGCCTCCTTATATCAGAGAAAACATTTAGCATTGGTTTGTTGGGACTGGCTAACTTAATTTAGCATTATCTTCTCCAATGCCATCCATTTACCTGAAAGTGCCATGATTTTATTCTCTTTTATTGCTGAGTAATATTCCATTGTGTATATGTCACATTTTTTTTTTTATCCACTCATCCACTGAAGGGCATCTAGGTTGGTTCCACAGTGGATCTTGCTAAATTTCTAAATTTCCTATGAATCTTCTGTCTCAGCCTCCACAGTCACTGGAATGACAGGCATTGCCTCTGCACCTGGCCTTATATCAACTTTTTAAGATAGGTTCCATTATAAGCAGGTGTGTTGGGGTAGGCCTGTAATTCTGGCTGTTGGGGAGACTGCAGCAGGAGGATTTCAAGTTTGAGGCCCGGCTGTGCAAATTTGTACATCCCTGTCTCAGAACAAACTAAAAAAGAGCTGGGGGTGCAGCTCAATGGTAGAGTACTTGCCTAGCATGCGTGAGGTCCTGGTTCAATTCCAGGACTGGAGCAGAGGATAGATAAGATATTGCTGTCTTCATTTGACAGATGAGGAAACTGAGGCACAGAAAAGATCAGTAGTTTTCCTAAAATCACACAGTGAGTTGTAGGACAACAAATCAAACAGGTTATTCTGGCTCTAGAATTCATACTTTTAACAAATATGTTATACTGCTCTTCATTTTTAATACTGATTTTATTTCTAATTTTGATTAATATTTATCTTTTTTCTTGATAAGTCTTGCCAAAAGTTTGTCAGTTTTATTAGTTTTTACAGAAAATCAGTAGATTTATTGATCCATTTATTGTTTGTTTGTTTTCTATCTTATTCCTTCAGCTCTTATCCTTATTAATCCCTTTCTTCTAACTTCTATGGGTATATTTTTCTTCTGTATTAAAAACTCATCTTTCTTTTTAGTCTTCTTAAGACTATATATTATCCTTTGAACACGGCTTTAGCTACATTCTACAAATTTTGACTTGTAATATTTTTGTTATTATTCAGATATATTTTTAGGTATTCTTATTTCTTTGATCCATTAGTTATATGTTTCTAAAAATATTTTTAAAATATATTTTGAAAATTATTTTTGATTTTAAAAAATAAATAACTTAAGTGTACTATGATCAGAGAGTATTATTAAGATACTAGTTCTCTGAAAATTTACTGAGATTTGTTTATAGCCTGCTACATGGTCAAATTTTGAAAGTATGACTGACATTGTTCTATTGATCTATCAATTAGCAAGAAATTTATGAACATCTCCCAATTTGATGTGGGTTTGTTGGTATTGCCTTGTGGATTTTGTTTGCTCACTTGCTTGCTGTAGAAATTTTAAAGCCATTTTAAAGATCTTTTACCTTAAGGTCTACTTTTCCTGATAGCAGAGCACTACTTGCCTGGTATATTAGAGCAGTTGTACATTGCTCATGTAGATGTGTTACAGTCTTCAGTCTTCTTCTGTTTTTCTTTTCTTTCTTTTTTTTTTTAATTTTTTATTGTTGGCTGTTCAAAACATTACATAGTTCTTGATTCAACACACTTCTTGATTCTTCACACTTTGATTCAAGAGGGTTATGAGCTCCCATTTTTACCCCATATACAGATTGCAGAATCACATCAGTTACACATCCATTGATTTACATATTGCCATACTAGTGTCTGTTGTGTTCTGCTGCCTTTCCTATCCTTCTTCTGTTTTTCAAAGGACCTTTTTATTTGTTTGTTTATTTGTTTGATTATTTATTTATTTTTTAATTTCCTTGCTCCATATCCCCAGAATATAGAGTGGACATCAAGTCTCTTTACAGCTTCTCTAGGCTGGTGCGTGGAGTATTTGTAGACTCCTTTTAATGAACTGGGTAACTGTGAAGGGCTAAGGTTAATGTGATATTATGTCTTCCTGAATTTTATAGGAAAACATTTAATTTTTATTTTCCCATTTGGCATTTCTGCAGCAAACTAACTACTTATCGTGATAGCTGTGCAGCCTTGGCCAACTATTCCAGATGTTATGCCTTATTTTTGAATCTGATAAACAAATACCAGAATAAGCAGGTCAGTTCTTCATGCATTTGATTCTTCAGTGTCTTCTGTGTTTTTGTACTGTCGTATTTGTGTATGCCCATGTTGAATGACTTTGTGTTTTGAATATATAGATTCCTATTAGAAGCTTCCATTAGATGTATAATGTACTGCCCTAGGAGGCAGTGAGCTACCTCCAGGCATTAAAGAAGGAATAATTTGAGGCAGACAATGTCTCAATGGGATATAGTTCAAGGGGACTCCTGGCTTATGGAGGAGGTGGGGTGGACTACAGGAGTGTTGGTCCTCCCAATGACCTATAGACGACCTACATGACAGTCATCTTGCACTAGCTATTTCAGTAGGAAGCTCAGTAGGCTCCATCCCAGGCCTGTGGAGTCAGAGGGGTGGAATTAGACCTGTCCACCTGCATTTTAACAAAGATCATGACAACTTCTGATGCAAATTAAAGTTTGGGATCCCTCTATACTGGCTGTCCCTGGAAGATTCTTATAGTTCTTAAATTCTCTAATTTTTTTGACTGTGTTGTATTTAGAAGATGGAATTTCTAGGTAAAGGATATAAATGAGATAATTTAGGGTGTTAATTTGGATAAATAAATCTAATTTTAAAGATAAAAAATAAATAAATAAATAAATAAATGTAACTACTTCCAAACATCTTTACCAAGCAAATAAAATTGATGTGACTGATGACCCCCCCCCCAAAAAAAAAAAATTTAGGGTGTTGTTTTTGTTTGGGGTTATTTATTTATTTTTGTAGTACTGGGGATTGAAACTAGGGGATGTGGCTTAGTGGTTAAGCACCCTGTGTTTAATCTCCAGTACCAAAAAAAATAAATTAAAGGTGATAAAATCTTGGTTAAAGTGCCAGTAAGTTTTTTTTTTTTTAAAAAACTGATTTACAAATATGCAGTTGAATTTGAATTCTGGATATTTGGCTTACCAATGCCTATACCTATATATTTTTTATTTTCTACAAATTACATACTTTGGAAGATTTCAAGGCATAGTAATTCACCATGTCAAGTAAAGAATGAATTTGATTAATCTACCTTAACATATTCATTTAAGTGTCCATTAAACATTTAATTTAGATTTAGTACGATATATCATTAGAACTGTAATCTTTGGACAAATGAATTAACCCAATGAAAAGCTTAGGTACTCTTCTTCCTGAATTTCTTTTTTAAGGGAAAAAAAGTTAAATGACAGAAAAGAGAAAATATTATAGTCTGAAAATAAATCTTTTAGCTGTTAAAAGAGATTTATTTATATACTATAATTTCATGGATTTGAGATAATTTTACTTTACCATCATTTTTTCTACTTTGGTAATTTGGTCTTGAGTAAATTAGATTACTTTTAACTAGAGGAGACCACTTTGTGCCTTACTCTATGATTTTCAAATGAGGTGAAAGAAAATATTTCTGTTTAATGTTTGATTTCAAGCTATGTCAAAACTTAGTTTATTTTTTAAAGGAAGAGTATAGGTAAAGAGCCCTGTTGTTTTGTGGCATTGCTAGTAGATACTGTTTTGTCTATGATTGTAGCTTATCTGATAGCCATCGTTACAAGGCTAACAAAAATCCTAGTATCTTGCCAACCTGACAGACTGGAGATGTCAGTATTGGTCAGGGGATGCTTTTTCTGGTTTAAAGGACTAAGTAGCCTAACAATTGACATAAAGTTTTGTCACACTTTTCACTAAACTGCTTTCTGCTTTGGTTTAAAAGTCACATGTCTCTATTAATTTATAATTTTGTTTTCCTATTAAAATTAATTTCCAAAGAAGAATAAAGAGCATATTTCATATAGAACCACCAAAGAAAAGCATAATTTATTATTTTAATCACCAAACTTATTTTAATCACTGTGGTGAAAATCACATTAAAATGTATTACGTATTTCCTTTCCATCTTAGAAGGTATTAAAAATAATTTAACCTCAGCTGGATATGCTGGGGCACAGCTGTAATCTGAGCAACTCCAGAAGTGAGGCAGGAGGATCACAAGTTCCAGGTTAGCCTCACCAACTAAGCGCCCCTGAGTTTAATCCCCAGTGCTGGGGGTGGAAGGGAAGAGTCCTTTGGGTACTCTCACCAAGAGCCTGTTATGATGTTCCTCTGCTAATTGCAAGCAAATAAGAGCAAAGCAGAAATTATAACCAAAGGCAGAGGTAAGCAAGCAGTAGAAAAGAGAGAGAGAAAAGCTATAGAAGGAAGACACAGACACTTAAGGAAACTCATCAGTAGACTTGGGCTCCCAGTGGGGGACTAAGAGCCTCTAGAGCAATAACTGGACCTTAGAATAATGACTTTTGAACTATCATTATTATTCTTTTGAGGTACTGGGGATTGAACCCAGGGTGCTTTACCACTGAGCTACATCCCCAGGCCTTTTTATGTTTTTATTTTGAGACATTATTCTCAGGGCCTTACTAAATTGCTGAGGCTGGCTTTGAACTTGTACTCCTCCTGCCTCAGCCTCCTGGGCTGATGGGATTACAGGTGTGCTCCACCATGCCCAGCCCAAATGATTCTTTGATCAGATTTCTCTAATGACCTCTCATCTTTAAAAAACAATTCATATTTAAAGATGTAGCTCTCTGATCCTCTGCTCCATGAAGCTTCCCAAGATCACTCAATTCCTCCCTCATCAGTACATCATTTTAAAGACTTCAGTGTAGCTAGTACATCCGGCTCCTAGGCCCAGAACCAGGAACCCAACCAGTATGTCTAGGGTCATAACCATGCCACTGTGATCAAAAACAAAAACAAAAAGAAAGGAAAATCCAAAACTTAGAAATAAGGTGTCATGGGGGAGGAGACATGTCCTGACAAAGTCAGGCTGGGCCTTTGTACAGTGGCCCGCCCATGATTTCAGTCTCAGGACAATCTACAGGTGTTTGAATTGGCTATCTACTGTGTGATTAGAATCCGGATAGTATGAAGTTACACATTAATTTGTAGATTTCTTTCTGGTAGACAGGATCACCACAAAAGTTATGTTTTTACTACTTTGTAGGCTATTAGCCAGGTGTATGGCTAAACTAGATATCTTTTTTTATGGTTGTTCTGTTTAGATATACATGACAGTAGAATGTATTTTGATACATTATACCACATGGAGTATAACTTATTCTAATTAGATCCCATCCCTGTGGTTGTACCTGGTGTGGAGTTTCACTGAGGTCATGTATTCGTATATGAGCATAGGAAAGTTATGTCCGATTCATTCTACTGTCTTTCCCATTCCCATCCTTTCTCCCTTCCTTTCATTCCCCTTCGTCTAATCCAGTGAACTTCTGCTCTTTCCTCCCTCCAAGCTAGAAATCTTATTCTACTGTTCCTTATTTTTAAAAATTGCTGGCAATTAAAAAACCCCAGAGCCTTGCACACATTAGGAAAGTTCTGTGCCACTGCACTACATGCTCAGCCCTTACTTTAATATTCCTCTAAATCTTGTAAACTCCCCATTCTTTAATTGTTCTTGAGATCAACTTTGTCATCATATGGGATCTCTCCTGTAGGACACAAATATTTAAATGTGTTGATTTTATCTTTATTTATATCATATTCTTTTTTTCTAAATATGTATATATATATTTTTTAGTTGTAGGTGGATACAATACCTTTATTTTATTTTTATGTGGTGCTGAGGATTGAACCCAGTGCCTCATGAACCTGGTGCCTCACACATGCCAGGCAAGTGCGCTACCACTGAGCCCCAGCCCCAACCCCTGAGTCATATTCTTAATGCTTCTATTTCCCTTTACTTAAAGATTGAAATGGGGGCTGGGGTGTGGCTCAGCGGTAGAGCACTCACCTAGCACGTGCTGGGTTCAATCCTCAGCACCGTATAAAAATAAATAAATAAAGGTATTATGTCCAACTACAACTAAAAAATAAATATTAAAAAAAAGATTGAAATGTTACAATTTTGAGCCATGACTTTTATTTTTATCTAGTAAGAGAAATACTTAATTTATATTTTCCTCAAAACCAAAATATTTTGGAAGCACAGGGAAAGAGGTCAGGTTACAAAGAAGTGATTATGTGTCCCAACTACTTCCAAAAATCATTAACCAAAAGCTCCCATAAATCTTTGTAAAAATATTTCTCTTGTGGTTCTTCAAATGGTTTTCATTAGTGTAGCTGCCTCACCCACTACTGAGAGTTCCCAAGAGAAGCAGACTTCTCTCGATAAACCTGGAATGTCGCCGGTAGAGTAGGCTCATGATAAGTGCTGAAAGAATGATTTTGACTATGTGGAACATTTTGGAATCTGTAAAGTGCTATAAAATATTTTTTCTAATACTCAATTACTTCTTCCTTAAATATTTACTTTTTTCTTCCTAGTTTGGAGGAGGAAATAATAAGAATTTTTTTCCCATACTTTTCCTATTGGTGGCCTTCCACAAACAAGAGCAGAAAAGAAATGATGAATTTTAAATGACTTCAAACCAGCAAAGTAACTTAGGTTCATGTTCCTCTTGGCTCAGGTGGCCAATTGAATATGATTTGTTTTCACTCTTTTTCTAGAAATAAAAATAATTTCCAGAAACCCCACACCATGGTCTGATGTGAGTGTATTGATTTGAAGTGGTTAAAACTTTGCTACACCTGAGGTTCGCTAAGATGTGAGGTTTAGAGCTGATCTTTGAAAAGTAATTTGGCTCTCCAGCAACTTAAATAGAATTACTACTTCCTATAATTATTTTTGTTTCAACCCTAGGAAATGTTTCTGAAGAGTAACTTGGGTTGTAGAAATATACTTTGGGAGATTTGTAGCTTGTACAGAGGTTTGTACACAGCTATCACTGAGTGCTTAAACAATCAGTAAGAGCTCGCCTATTTTACCTTTGTACTGAGAGGTTAGGCGCGCCTCTGTTTTAAAAGCCTAACATTTAGAATCAGCATAGATTTTATGTTTCTAAGAGCTTTATTTTTGCTTTTTTGTGTGTGTGGTTTCTAAGGAACTTATTTAATCAACTTCCAGAGGGCTCTAGAAA